CGCTTTGGGAACGAGAATACCCACTGCGCCATACTACCAAGTCCCTGCCTGTGTGTGTATCAGATGAGCACATCACGAAGAGAGAACTTGGGAACCTTGGGTAGATGCCAGGTCTAGGTTATAGAAGTGGACTCCACCTACTCATAGTCTGCTTGGTCGCCGGAGATCCTTTCTTTGGCGGACCAAAACAAACAAAAAGCTGATCTGCCTTACGCCACGGGGCAGCTCTGTGTGCGTAAGCGTCCAATGCTCTAACTGGACAAAGCAGATTAAGCCTTTCTTGGTCTACTTCCTAGAACGGAGAAGGACAGAATGCCTGAAGTACTATGGGCCCTGGCGAAGCAGTGGGCACCTTAGGGACATACCCGGCCCTCTGGTAAAGGAATGCCCTAACCATGCCTGGAGCAAATTCCAGGCACGAAATAGAAAGTGTCTGCAGATGCCCGATCCTTTTAAGTGAGGAAATAGCGAGGAGAAAGATAGTCTTGAGCGTGAGAAACTTGACTGAAACTTCTTCTATGGGTTCAAAGGGTGCATTGCGTAAGCCCTCCAGAACCACAGCCAGATCCCATGAGGGCACCTTAGTGCGCTGTACTGGCCTCAGCCTCAGAGTGCCATGGAGGAAACGAGTTACAAGTGGGTGTCTTCCCAATGATTGACCACCCAGAAGGGCGTGGTAAGCAGCTAAGGCCGCCACGTATACCTTTAGAGTGGAGGGAGATAACCCTGCGGAGAATCGCTCCTGCAGAAACTCCAGAACTGTACCAATTGGGCAGTTGACTGGGTCCTGCAGTCGCTGTCCGCACCATGAAGCGAAAAGTTTCCACTTCAAGGCGTACTGTTTCCTAGTGGCGGGAGCTCTGGACTGGAGTATAGTCTCAACAACCTCAGTTGAGAGACCAGATGCTAGGAGCTGTGCACCCTCAGGGGCCATGCCCACAGCTTCCATAACTCCGGGCGGGGGTGAAGAATGGCGCCCCCCGCCTGAGAGAGGAGGTCCCTCCTGATCGGAATCTCCAGCGGAGAGCCGTCGAGGAGGGACACCAGGTCCGAGAACCATACTCGGGCCGGCCAGAACGGGGCTACTAGCAACAGACGGACCCCATCCCGGCGTACTCTCTCCAGAACTCCCGGGAGCAGAACG